AGCGCGAGCGGCGTTTTCCATTTCGTATCCTTGGCGCAGGAGCGCGGCGCGTCCGTTCTGTACGGCAGCACATACTGGATGCGCGCGTCGGGATTGCAATTACCATCGAACGCCATCGTCTCGCGGCCACTTTTACTCGGTGCGGAGCGAAGCGGGTTATGAATCACTCGCGGCGCTCTCGTGTTCTCTCCTCGCTTTGTTGCGGCCTGCGCGTATATATCGCGCGGCTGAATAGTTCAACGTCTACACGATTTCTATGTTGCAAGCCGCGACGAGCCATCTATTATAGGCAGATGATTATCGATATTGGCCAACGTCGCCTTTCACAAGCCGACATTCTTCGCGCGGCGATCGCGCGTTTTCTCGCCTTCCGCAAAAGCGAACGCGCTTCCCCGTCCGACGCGCGTGCGACACTTAACGAATGGTCTGAATTGAAAAAGCGGCCGCGACTAATCGCGCGATTGGCGACACTTGTGAAGAGATTCGCGCTCCCGTCCAATGATTACGTCTCGATGTGTTTTTGGCTTGTAATTTTGTATTATTCTCTTGCGGCGTGCGTTGCAAAATGTGACTTAAGTGTGAATTGTCCTCAGTCGCGCGACGGAAAATTCCATTTTATTGCTGAAAAAAAAGACTCGCGACGTCGCGTATTAAATTCCGTAGGTTTCCGTAGATTTTGAAATATTTGTAGATAATTAATATTGCATAGAAATCTCTTCCTACGCACACAGAGACCTTTAACTTCTTGGGAACAATATTGTGTCTGTAAGGCCTGAACGAATTTTTGTTCACCAACTTTCATGAAGGTTCCGGGAAAATGTCAAAATAGCGCAAATTTGTTTGAGAATTGTAATTTTATTGCGCTGGTATCCTATAGCTGAGGCTTTTCTCTATAACTCTAGAAAAAAATATGTCCAAAAATATTGATTTTCAACAAAGTTATGGCAGTTTAAAATTGCTCGGGTCTGACCGACACATTGTACCACATGCCCCAAAAATGTGATTGTACGCGGAGGATTAAGAATATCCCGTAATTACGAAGGGATGAACGATATAGGCGGACATCTATGAAGCCATTAGCGATCATCAACGTCGCGGCTATGATGACGTGCAATAAAATGAAAATCACTCTCCCATGGGCGGGAATATTTTTAGTGATTCGTCGAGCATGTGCGCGTGAACACGATGTTCGTGTGTGACCGCCTGCGCATTCGTGTATTCTTCTCTGCGCGCTACATCGAAGCAGGTGGGGTGGCCGAGAGAAACACGGGTCCGGCGTCAATACTCCCTAACTAAGATGGGTTATAAGGGTCTCCGCGGACCCTTAAAGAACTCCTCGTGAGGAAGAATTCACGCTCGAGCGCGCGCAAGGCCATTGAGGGATGCTTCGAGAGCCACGCTCTCGACTTTTTGTAAAATGCATCAGCGAAGAATATCTCGAGAAACTACGGGATTCTGTCCGACATTTTTCACCCTTGGAGAATTATGCCCGTGGAGACCGAAGTCACCCCTCGAGTCGGCATAGATACAATAGAACAGTCGATTACTTCCATGTTACCGAATTTTGACCGGTACTCACAGTTTGATCCTATATTTAAAATCGTTTTGAGTCTAAGATATGACTACGAATACCATCTTTAAACCATAAAAACCATGAAACCTAAGTTTCTTTTTCAAGAGATAAGATCGAATAAAATCGAACTGATTAAATCCTTCGATCATTCTTATCTCTCGTGCAAAGATAGCTCTCCAATTCTTCCGCGTGCGATGGAGACCGATACTTGGCGCGTCGAAACTTCCGCAGTTCACGTTGGTAAGATTGCGTTACACGCGTTAATGAAGCAACGACCGTGGTGCTTTTCTTCATCGACTCGATTCGGGATCTTAAATTGATCGGTGCATAAAACCGTCGCGAAATTTATATCGCGCCGCCCGGAGGCACTTCGGCACTCATTACGGAGTGCGTCATGTGTCGTAGAGAGATAAATCGCGATATTTAAACTGGATTGCCCGGCGTTCGCGTGCGCGGTAGTATTTCGTGTTCACGGTTGACATTTGTTTGAGACCGGTCGAGCGGTGACAAATCGTGCGAGGTTTGGTAGATAGAAGTCGGCCTGCCAGAGCTGCGCCGGCGTTGCGCAAGTTACGCGGCGAGAATTGTTCTCGCACGAAAAGTCCGCGCGGCGCGCCCGCTGCGCGCCGACAGTCAACTTCCAATTGCGACGAGACGATAAGCAGAAACGCGAGGAGGACACTGGGGAAGAGTGCGGAGATCTTACATAAGTTATTTATGCACCTGCGTCATTGATCCCATCGACGAGAGCTCGCGTCGTTAAGGAGATGCCGACGTCGCGAGCGACGCGGTAAATGCAATGTTGTAATTACTCCGATTGCGATCACGTAGCGTCTCGTGTCCTGCTCTCTCGCGCGATGAGCATTACAGTCGCACGTCCGAGTAACGCACACACGTTTCTTTCGCGACTTCGCCACTCTCCTCGGTTTATTTACTGGCTGAATAGCGCGATAGATCGGTCCGTGTGGAGACGGTAGAGGAGAACTTCAACCGAGCGTGTTTGAAGCATAATAAACGGTACAATCGGTTTTCCGGTGTTAATGTCAGCGGCACGGTAGTTATCGTTAATCTCGATACACTCCGCTTGAAAAGGAGATCGCGTCCCAATGAACTCGCGTGTGTGCTTTTCGGTTTCATTTTAATGACATTGATGTTATTCCAATGGCATTCACGGCACCCTTTTCATACTTCCAAAATAGGCAGCCGGAGTTCACGCGGGAATTAATGCCACTCTCTGTTTTAAAGTAGACGCGTCCCTAGAAGAGCCGGAATATATTTTTCGAGCCGGGTCGCGCGGGAACGCCGACCGCGGGGCTGAACCCAGGCACATCCATATGTACGCATAACCATAAACCAACATCCCAAACGTAGCGTGCGTTCCCAAGACGTGATGCACGGCGAACTAGGAGACGTCATTGTTATAATAAACGTTCGCGCTCAACGTTCGCTCACGATAGCGACGTGCAAGTCGCGACGGAAAGCATAAGAACGCCTTCCCTTTGCACTTGGCGTTGCATTCGCACGCATATGTCAACTGCTCGACGAACTGACGATGCCAATGCGATTTCAAACAATCCCTGAACTAGTCTGAAGATAAACGCGTGCGATTGGCTGCGAAGAATTAATTAAAACAAATGACAGTGACGAACGCAGAATATAATTAACGTAATCGACTGACGCGTCATCTCATTTGGCACAGTCGAGACATTTTCACAAATTTTTCCGCACGTAATTTATGTTTATGTTCTTTCCTATACACTTCCGTCTTAACGACTTACAAACTGACAGACCAGCTGAGTTGTCAATGATAAGTGCTTAAATTATCGTTGCCCGAGTCAACGTGGCGACCTGACTTTTCATTTCGATCACCTAGCCGGAAAAGCGAGAGGAGATTTCTCTTTCCTGAGAAATCGAGAGAGGAAGGAAGCAGGTCGACGAAAAGACTCGGAAGAGGCACCTAATGGTCCGCTAGCAGATGTCACATGCTCGGCAGTCGATGTTTTCCAGACGGGCGACTACCGCCAACGCAAGCTTCTTACCCCGGCGTTCAAGTCTCCAGCGATACTAACGATCCTGCGAATGTTAGGCCGCGGAGGTCCCGCGGCAGGGGCCCTGGAGAAGAAATTCCAGACTCGTACGCTCCTCGTGCTCGCAGGCCCCGCGTGAACTTTCATTTTCAAAAGTGACGGAAAGAGAGAAAAAAAGGGGGGGAGGAGGAGAGAGAGAAAGAGAGAGAGAGAGTGTTAAAGAGAAAAACAGATCCTTGCAATGTATCTGTGATACAAATAAACCTAAGTCGAGAGTCTTATTGATATCGCTCTCAGAAGAAGCATTGTCTAGTGATCATTATATTGAGACACACTGTTTACATTTATACAAAGTTGTGACACTAAACAAAGGGGACTTGAAGAGGATTTGAAGGGGACTTGAAAAATTGCAAATTTTCCATCTATATCTTAAATCTGATAAAAATTTCATCTAAATCGACTCTTACTATTGGGTAACTATTCAATAATTTGAATATGTACCACTCTCTACAGAGATACGGATCCTGTTTATGTCTGATTGCAAATGACCGACGAATTTATTACGTTGTCTGCTCGTAATGCGTGTGAAAGTGGCTGAATTGTGCGAGGTTGTCTATTGCAAGAGGAAAGAATGTTTCCCAGGTGTCAATGTCCTGCAATTTTCGGCTTCAACTCATCGCGACTACAATACTCATTTACTACAGTTTTGGAATGATTAATGATCAAGTCATATTGGTGCGCTCTTCAGTTAGCAGTCACAATGACAAGTATTTAAATAGGCGCCCACTATACCAGAACTGCAAGATATTAATGACGCCGTGTATGTAAGAAAAGTTGAGGCGTATCGATGTGTTGGAGCAGAAACGGTCGCGGCTTGTTCGCTCGACGTTTCTTCATGAACTTTCGCCGAGCGAGCGAGCGAGCGAGCGAGCGGACGAGTGAAGGAACGAACGAACGGACGAACGAACAAACTCGTCGAGGAAAATTGGGACGACTTTGCGTAAACGTATCTTCGCATATTTCCGCAGCGAAACGATCGACGTCTTCAGCGACGCTTTGACATTTCGTCGGCGCGCTTTCGCGCTCAAGGACCTGAGAAACATGTGACACGAAACAACACGGGACACCGCGTTCAATGTATGGCAAGGATACGATTTTCCATGCTTGACTACCTTATCACGCTCGCAACTGAAGCGTATCGAACGCATGTGGAAGTTAGAGAGCGTCATGACAACGCCAACGCACAAACCGACGTATTGCAGTCGTGGTCGCGGCCAAATCATGTTATGAAGGTAATCTCTCCCCTCTTCCTCTTCCCACGCTCTCGCTATGCAGTTGGCGCGCAAAGATGGCAGGTGATAGCGTGAGATTCACGTGAAATTTCGGTGTTTTTCACTCACCTCAGTTTAACATTCATGCGGTGCGCGAGGCGTAATCCCGAGACGAGATGAGCGGCGCGATTGCAGAAACTCTCTTGGCAGAAACTCCGACGTTCACTTTCGCGACGAGTCTAGCGGAGTTGGCAACCTACGTTTACACTTGCGCGCACCAAGGAGCATCCGAATTATTCATTGTCGACGCACCACATCCACCCCTCGAAGAGTGACGCGACTTCGCGATACTGTTCCGAGACGCACTGGTGTGTAAAAGTACTCGTCGATTCTCAACGATTTCATTCAGCTTCGTGTCGCGAGACAACTGACATCGTTCGCAACTGTCAGCGTCTCGCTATGTGTGTGTGTAAGCAGACTCGCGCTGATATATGAGGTCGCACGGCCGCACCAGGGATCGAATTCGTGCGCGCTCGATACCAGAAGCTGTGCGCGTTATCACTGTCAAATGTGTCGACTTTGCACCTTGCCTTTTCGGTATATCGCTTCCACGACGACGCTCGAGTTTCAACCACCGAACTCCAACTCGAATCTCTTCGCGAAGAGCGAAGTCAGGGACAACAAACACACGCGTGCAACTTGGCCTAGTCCACGAGAGCAAACTGTTTCCAGCGACGATCTGCGACCTGGTCTCGCACCGTCGGAGTGTTTGGAGCGATCTAGGACACTGTTCAAGCGGATCTCCACCAAGTACACTCCGTGGAAAGTCGGGGGATTCCCCGGGACAAAAAATTACGGATCACTCATTCGATTTTTCCGGTACACGAAGAGAGACGGAGAGGCCGGTATTAACGTGCGAGAGGAGAGAAAGAAAGAGAGAGAGAGAGAGTAAACGGGAAAGAGAAGAAAGGTGACGGTCGACGGACGCAGCACGGGGAGAGCACGATCTCGCGCGCGCGCGATCACGAGCATGCGAACGAGGAGTCGGCTTTCACGAGAATTCCTGCCGATCCTTCGAGGCCTCCTCTTCGGTCCGCGCGTCTCACCTTGCGGAGAGCGAGTCTCCAGGTCGGCCATGCAATGAGGCACAGGTCCACGCTGGGCAGGACTCTCCCTTCGCCTCTCCGCGTCTCGTCTTCTCTTTCCCTTCCTTACTACTACCACCACCATCAGCTCCACCACCACCACTACCACCATTACCACCACCGTCGTCGTCGTCGTCGTCATCATCATCATCGGCACAGCGCGCGCGGCACGGCAGGGCACCTTCTCCATCGCCGCCGTCGGGTTTCCTTGGCCCCCTCGCCCTCCCCCCTTTTAGAACGCCGCGAAGCAGAAGACAGCTCCCAACCTTCCCGCCTACCTCCTCGCACACCTTCGCCTCCGTCCAGCTTCCCACCATCCTCCTTCTCGCACCTCCTCCGCCGCCTTTCGGTCTTACCTCGTGGATCGTTCGGTTCCCCTACTTTGCTCTTCTAGCCAGGTACGACGCCAGGTCGCCAGGTATACACACGTACACGCGTGCACACTAGCTATCACCGCCGCCGCCGCCGCCGCCGCCGCCGCCGCCGCTGTTGGCTCCTGACTCGCTGTAGTAGGTGTAGGATACATTCGTGCGTTCGTGCCATGGTGCCGCGCACAAGATCCCCTCGGAGCTCCACACACCTGAGGGGTTGCGTGCGATGCATCTGGACCGGGGAAAAAAACATGTGTTCTGCGCGCGGAGGAGATACGAAGCGGCCGCGGGGATGGTAAGGTCGGGGGTGCAGATGCTGTTCGAAGGCGGAGAAAGTGTTCAATTTGGCGATGGGCGGTTACGAGTGTGCTGCGAGTAATATTAAATTAATCGGGTTAGGCCTCTTGTGAGATGAGATGAATCCACGCGCATCAACCTCTTTCTGATTTTCAGGCATCGTGGGACGCACGATTTTGGCTAGAGGGATGAGAAAAATGTGCACCACAGTCCCTTCAAAATTTTATCTTTAACGTGATGATAGTTTAAGTTGATAGCAAAGTAGAAAAATCGATATCTGCATCCATTTGGTTATCGACTTAAGTTATCACCATGCTAAAAGTAAAAGGAGATATCGGTTTTTTTACTTTGTTTTCCTAACTAGATATGACGTGAGGTCACCACGTATCTTATCTTTGTCCTACAAGACAAAATACATAAGGCTTGTTTATTTTCTATTGCTATGTAAAAAATTTTTATTTTCTATTGCTATCTAAAAAATTTTCTCTAAAAAATTGTTATGTCAAAAAAATTTGCAGAAAATGAAAAATTTCTTTGAGAAATTGAAGAATTTCTTTGTTTCCAGTAGATCCTTTGGGTTCCTATATATTATATGCATTATATGGGGGAGAAGTCTCGTAGAACATGACTCACGCAACAATACTTATTAACTGCCTATTACGTAAACACTTTTAGAGAAAAGTAGTAAGAGACTGCTGCCTCTTGACTGCCCGTTACTGCTTTCTATTCGCGTAAGCACAGGCAGGCTAGTAATAAAGGGAACGCGTTCAATCTAGTTTTGAAAAATTGATACAATGTAAAGTTAATTGCCGTCGCTTTCACGCAGTGCCGAAGCATTTGCGACAACAATTAGCTAAGAAACAAAAAATGTTGAACCATAGAATATACGTATATCATAGTTATGGCGTACCTAATCGAATACTGAGCACAGTTGGATTGTTAAGAATCTGGAATCGCGTTACGTAAAAGCCGCGCTAGACAGGCGTGAAAACACATAGTGTTCGGCTTCCAAGAAGCATCCACTCGTGAAGTCGCTTCGAGGAAGGAACAACTCTCGTTGCTGCATTTCAAAAATCGCACCAGCACGAAGACCACGGCGACCGTTTGGCCTTTGCGCGATGTGCACGCTTGTTTTATCGTAAATACGTTCTCGCGGCGAGAGAAAGAGAGATATTCCGCGAAATGGCGAACGTATAACGTGTTTGGCGAATCCTTCCCAAGTTGCCGGTTTATAAGGAGAAACGCTGGCAGTTGTATTCCAAATATTGCCTACTAAGGATATTTTAAGTTTGAACATTTGTTTGCTTCTCATTATCATGTTATCATGAAAAATGGCCGCAGAATGGCAACCAATACGACATGTTCAATATAATCAGTTAATCTTGACCGTTCTCTCCACCATTCCTGGTGCAGTATCTTTTACAAAATATCTCCATTTCTTTGTGCGTGGCGCTTTTTTGAAGATGCATCTTTTGTGAGTGTCAAATGATGCGTTTCAAGATCATAATCGCGGAACTTAAACTCGAGTGAGCACGACCAGCACAACTTAGCCGTGAGAGAGAGAGAGAGAGACACGTATTCTCATACATTTCGATTCGGTCCACGGCGGAGATGCTGTTTTTCAGCAGGTGCCGGACCGTGCCCTTCCGATAGCTTTGTAACGCGGGTTGATCCTGAGCAATCATCTCGATTCACCCTTAATGCCCAACGCGCCCTGTGTCGACGGGATACCGCCATTGTTCTCCTCAAGTACCTTGACTATTTTCGCGATATTGTTTAGTACTGGCCGACCGCATCTTCATCTTCGGGGAACGCCCATTATGGTTAGCCACGGCTTTCCTAATATACGGAATCATGCTGGGAACAATAGTTGTAAATTTTGCCATTGGGAAAGCCATATTTTGACCCTTATCCTCAGAGAAAAAACATGATGATGACAAGTACACAATTGTACAACTGTAAAGTACAACAAGTCTTTGTGTGTACATGGAATTAGAAGATGATTACGCGAACTATACCGTTCTCGTAACCATTCAGCTTTAGCTGTATCAAGTACAAAATAATTTATTAAATTATACACACATTAATCCTACACACAAAACTCGTACGATGACTCGTTGTCATCTATGTAGTTGCCACTACCATATTTTTCTTCAAGTAGGAAGAAATCGAAATTTCAAATCTCTTTCTAAAAGAAGTAGGGCTATCTCTAGAATCTTAGATGACTCCCCACTGTGAGGACCTTTCTATTCTTTTGACGAGGTTCGTGGCTAAGCTCTGTAAACGATCCTTTTCCTCCATTTCTTTGATTAGAAGTTATGTGACTGTTAGTAGTTCGTAGTAGTTGGCATAGTAGTTTTATATCATAGTAGTCTTTGTCGTAGTGATACACGGCAACTATATTTGTCCTTTTTTCTAGTTATCAATGTTTTCATGCAGAAAAACATATGCATGCATGCGAGTACGTAAGTATGCGTTTGTAAATTATCTTTTACATAAACTTTTTTTTAATCTTATTGTTTTGCAGAAGTAAATGGACGCTTTAACGCGCAATGTTTAAAAGACTCGATCGAACTTAACTTTCGATACTTGGTGCGTTTTCTGTAAAAATATATCGCGGAATGTTGCGATAAAATGGTATAAGGGGCGATCACACGAGTACTCGTGAGGAATCAACAGGTGGTTCTACGCGTGCATGGACCTAAATTTAGCCGCGATACTACTTGCTTTCCTCTTTCACACATCTCTTCGGCATCACCCATTTTGTCTCGTTCCCCGTCGTTCCTCTTGTGATCACGCATCCTTACGTTTATACTACCTCACGGTTTCTCGCTTCTACGCGTGTCTTTCTATTACGGCGAGGCTCTTTCGAGGAATTACTTTGCTCCTTGTTTAACGACGTCGCGGGATTTCTGTTGAAGCTTTGCCTGGCTGATTAAACATAAGCTAGCTATACTCGCGTTCCCTCGTGCGTCTCGAAGTTCGTGCGTGATGTAACGTAAAGGAAGCGGAATCAACGAAATATTGTCGACCATTTTCCATCGCGTCAAGTATGCGGTATAAATAGAGTATGAGGCTGCATAAATTCTGCGATGCGCAAAAGATGATCCTGCCTTAGAAATTTCGCGAAGGGAAGGTGATACGCTGACAGAAGTTGGAAAACGTGTGCAAGTCGAAATCAGAAATCTCTTCTCTTTGTGTATCAATACAACAGCTATCGTTTTTTATTCTGCAATAGGTAACCCGTAAGATCTTTCACCTTTAGGCGCGACTAAACAGGGGAGACGGATCGCGGAGGACGCATCGATCGGGCGCTTTGTTTCGTGAGAAGGTAGGATAGGGCTTATATCCGTGTACTTATGGATCCAGCCCGCGGTATCTCTCATGCTGATCCATTGTTGAGCCGCGAGAGCGTGGCACGAGAACACGAAGAGTGGCAAAAGTGCCCTCGAGGCATCTCGCACCGCGCGGCTCTCTCGCCGTTGATGCAGGTAACTCCCCCCATGGGACTTAGGTGCCGGGTACACCATGGGCATAGAACGACTAAAATACTGCCCAGAAGAGAATACCGGTTCAGAGAGCAGTGGCGCCGCTACCTGAGGGCACCGCGGACGCACGAAAAAACTACCCGCGCGCGCGCGCGGTCGAGGAGCTCGGCTCCAGAGCTCGCGCTCTCGTACTGTATCGCTTTTAGCCCTGGACAAAAAGCCAGGAATTTATGGAGCGACGTCTCGTTGCATTAGGGTTAAGCACCTGCGCGATAACGAAGCAACAACTGCCAATGCGGCTGCCGCAATACCGCGGAATGCTGTTCTCTCTCTTTCGAATTCTACTTTGAGTGTAATAGAGTCTACGCTGTTCGCCAAAATCGAGGCATATCGTCGAAGAAGCGGGGCCGGAAACTGTGGCTCGAGGACATCGGGGCGCGCATACGACCGCATTTTTTCGTCGAGGCTAGAGCGGCACTCCGGAAACTCGTTGAACTTTGGCGTCGCGGCTCGAAATCTCTCGGCGGTTGCCCGCCTCTGAAAGCTCGTTAATAATAATCCCGGGTGGAATTATTTATTTAGTCCATTTGCACATTGCGAGGGGGCTTAAAGAAGGAGGCAGGGATCAAGGGGAAGGGGGAGATGGAGAGAGAGATCCGCCTCTCTGCGTGAGGCTCGCGAGGTAATGAATCCCTCGTGCGCGGCCGTGAGTTACAGGCCTCCGACCGAATACGTCGACCCGAACGTGCTACAGGCTCATGCAAAAGATGCGCCGCCGGTGCATGCATCCCCCTCCTCGTCCTTGACGGACTCACTTCTTTCCCATACCTGCTGCTTTCCGCCACCGATGGCCTTCTTGTTCTTCCATCGCCGACTACAAACACCCTTTGTCTGCCGTGTCTAACATCCGCGAGACGCGACGGCAACGGGGCATTGTTCGTCGCGCGGAAGATCGCGAATACGCGATGGAAAGCGCGATCGCGCATTTTCCGGAGCGAATTTCCTTTCGGTCGGTCGAGAGACTCGAGCGCTCGAGAGAAGATTTGACAGAATATTTAATAAGAGGACTCTAGAGTAAATGTAAAATAGACTTAAAAAC